GGTTGCATTGGAAAAAAAACGATCGTATTACGTTAAAATTAAAATTGATTTAATGAGTCAGTTTAAAAAAAAATAATTTTTATAATTTATAATATTACGAATTGATTATTAAAACTTTTTAGCTATGCAACTTCTTTTTACGATACAGAATGCTAGAATGTCTATATTATCAGCGACAGAGACGAATGTGTTTCGTTCGCCTCAAGAATGGATTCACAGAGTGGCACCACCAGTGCAATTGCAGTTGACAGCATCTTCATCGTCACCACTATCAATCTGCACGCCGCTGCAACCAATTCACGATGCTGCAATCGTCGGCCATCGTCCTTTACAGGTACTTTTTATATAAAAATAATTTTTTATATAAAGTATTTTTTTAGAAAAGAATTAAGATAATCAAAAAAAAAAATTTTTAATCTATCGTCTGCAATCTATGTTTTTTAACTCAAATGTTAAAACCTTTATTTAATAAAATTTAAGCAACAATAAAGAAAAAAATTGAAATTTGTTTATTAAGATATAATTTTCAGCAATAAGGGAATCGGACTTCTTTATTGTGAAGAAAATTGAAAGTGAAATTTTTTGTTTTCAAAAAAGACCTAAATTGCAGACACAAGGTTCATTATTCTAGAATATAAATATTCGTATTTGAAGAAAAAGAGAGAGGATAGAGATAAATAGATAAATAGATAGATAGATAGACAGACAGACAGACAGACAAAGAGAGAGAGAGAGAGAGAGAGAGAGAGAGAGAGAGAATTTTTACACTATTTTTCACATTACAATTATTATTAATATAATATCAACAATTATAATTGATGAATAAGATTAATAATGTTACATCATTATTAAAAATTTCCACAAAGCTACTCATAATAAAAATAAAATTATACATCGTAATTTTGCAGATGTACGAGAAATTTTTACCTTGTACTCAACCAAGTTCAACGACGCCTATACCTGTATATCAGCGACCGATAGAACTGTATCAGGAACCAATGCTGAAGCGGAAGAATCAAGGGGTTGACTTCAACAATCTCATTCTACTAACAAAGAACAGCATCAAGACGCGACGAAGCCACTCGAAGCCGCTTGTTCAGCAGCCTTCCCTTCTGGATTCCAGACAGACCCTAAAAACTTCCAGTCACAATGTACAGGTGCAATGGTTCGATAGAGATCACAGTGCGAGGAAAACGAAAGAGGTCGTGACCGTAAACGCACTCGTATCCGAACTGCGCAGTTTTGAGGAGAAGTACGAATACTGCAGAGGAGCTGATACTAGCTGGAGAACGGTCGCCGAATCATCACAAGACCAGCAAAGATTGTCTGAAACTTCGTTCCGGTTGAAGGATGGAATATATGAGAACGAGAGCTCAAGCTGTAGATCAAAAGACAGATTCTTTGAGAACGAAAGCTCAAGATACAGAGCTTTAGACACTGAAGAGGATAAGAGCTCGAAGCGGCCGCTTTATAGAGACGTTCTAGCGAATGCCTCAAATGAGACGATCTTAGATAATGTCTTCGAGAAGAGGTACATTGAAGTTTTCGATTAAAAACTTTTTAAAAGTTTGGATTTGGCGGAAAGTCATTTTTTTTTTATCAAATTCATCTGTAGTTGAATAGCTGTATTATTTAACAGAGAAAGCAACTTTGTAACTTATAAAATTCTTTAATACGATTAATCTTGTCCTTCAATGGATCTAAATGTAAATCAATCACATTGAAGATTTTATAATAGTTTCAAAGCTTTTCCTGTTGAACGCAACTGATGTTTCACTGATTTTTAGGTACGACGAGCTTGAACAGCAAGCGATGGAACAATACAGAAATTCAGAGGAGTCACTGGCGCTCAAATATCAGGTAATGTTCTAAACTTGAATATTCATTTTGTGGCATATATCTTCGCAAAAAATGAAAGGAAATAATTTTAAAAAAATTTTAGTAAGATTATAAAAACCGTGTGATCTTACAGATTCTTTGACATTCAGATTTAATAGCAATAAATTATTTATTATCTTTTTATTCCAATTGTTATCAAACGATATTTTACAACCAAAAGAACTAATTTTCAATCACTCTTAATGCTTGAAAGTAGAATGCTTTCACAAACACGTTTTCGATTAATTTTCATTCAACTTCTCACATGGAATATTATTATGCTGATGTTTACATTACGATATCGCAGGAATTGGAACGTCAAGCAATGGAACAATACAGAAATGGTAATATAGGAGATGAAAAACGTTTGATGGATCAAGATTGTGTCGATGGACAAAGATGTTCGGAATATGGACATTGCAGTCCCGTGAAAAGACATGCAAGAAAAAAAAGTAAACATGATACTTCCAAAATTGCTATATAATATATTGGACGTTTAATGCTCTTCGATAAAAATAATATCTTTAAAAAATAACTATTTCTCAGGTTCTTATTTTCCGCAAATCACTCTATTAAAGCCGAAGGGTAAATCTTTGCCAAATGTTTATCATGGCAATAGTAGTAATCATCAAGCAACCATCGCTTCAAGAAGTTTATCCGCATTGACTGAATCGAAGGAATCGAAAAACATATGTAAGGGTGCATCAGGAGATAAAATTGATACGAGTGGTAAGTTAGTATCAGCAACACTATGGAAAAGTATTAGAGATAGAGAAGACACAAGAAAGTTATAATGCATAATGAAATTTATGTCGATATTAGATAAATACTTAGATATTTTTTATCGTTATATTAAATTATATTAGAACTTACCAGACAACACGCATGTTCAAGATCGGATCAAAACATATTATAAAGATATCATTAAGACGTCTTTTAGATGTCTAAATATTATTATTCTTTTTTAATCGTAATTTGAATTTTTTTCAGATATTAAGTTAAATATTAAATAAAAAATTATGTTAAAATATTTTGGTAATATGTGTGATAAGGAGATGCCATTATTCTTTAAAATTTTGTCACAATGTGTTGCAATGAATTTTGATTTCTTTATAGCAGTGAATTTCGAAATGAAATCAATATCAATGCGATTTGAGTTCTATAATTAGAATGATTTCATTAGAAAATGATTTCAAAATTATTGATTTTTGAAGTCTCAGTTCGAGCATCGTCAAAGCGGCGTCTGATACTGATGTCACCCTTTGAACGCAAATCAGAGGCCAGACAAATAATGAAGGCAACGGAACTACGAAATATTTGCTCGTTCTCCCAAACAAGAAACAACGTCCTCGATTATTATCGGACTTCCGAAATTGCCCAGAATGGCAGCGGTGATGAAAATATAACAATTATACAATCACCTGGTACTGAAGGTATAATAGCATCAATCATGTAAAGGCATGATGTAATATAATAATATACAGTCTATTCAACAAGAAAGTGTGGGTAATAATCTGAAAAGAATAAAAGATAAAGTAAAGTTGTTTTTTTAAATGAAAATAGAAGATTTTTAGTAATGCGTGATTATCTAATATTTGATCTAGTTGTCTTTATTATCAATTATTGCTTGGCACCGTTTTAATTAGTTTAAAGATTCAAACGTACGATATAAGATAGACGGCGCTACTGTGATTTTCTACAAAAATATCACACTTTCTCGTTGAACAGATTGTATATA